TGTTTGGCGGGTCCGGGCTGGGGATTCGAACCCGCCACCTTAGGTGTACGTGGCTGGCGCCTTAGCCGGTTGAGCTATAGGCGCTGAGCCTATTTTTCAATCTTTGTAGAGCAAAAGGGCTGGGATTCTGAGCCTAGTGATAGGGAAAACTCTTTGGTGGAAGTTTTGATTTATTCAGTGGGTATTTATTGAGTACCTACTAGATGCCAATCACTGTACTATGCTGGGCCTATAGAAAGTAAACGAACACCAAAAGAATCTGTCCTCATGGAGCTTATACATAAGTAATGTGTCGATGATAAATGCCATGGAGAAAAATAAAGCAACACAGATAGGGAGGGAGAGGGGGTTAAAATTTGAAATAGAGTGGTCAGGGAAGGCCTCACTGCAGAGACTTTTGAATGGAGACCTGAAAGCAGAGGGAAGCAGTTATACTGATACCTGGGAGGAGGACCATAAAGGCTTTGAGGAAGGGGTATGTTCGGCATGTTCATAGGACAGCAAGGAGGCTAGAGTGGTTGGACCAGAGAGCTATGGGGGGAGGTAGAAAAAGTCAGCTCTAAAAGGTCTTGTAAGCTTCAGTGAGGACTTTGGCTCTGAGTCTAAGCACAATGTGGGAGTGATAGGCAGCAGAGAAACTGAGGAGGAAGCTATCACATAGTCATTTATTCAGCAGTGATAACTTTGTACAATAGATGTTGTTCCTTTACAAAAAAAGTATTTTTTTCACCCTCAAATTATTGTTAATTATTGTAATTCATATTAACAGTTAATATTAACAATTAAGATTCTTCACACCTTTCCCATACATAAAAATAATAGTTACACTTATTCAGTGTTTACTTTGAATTAATTAAAGGATTAATTCATTTAATCCTCGGGATGGATAGTCCTGGGAAGTAAGCACATTACTAACCCCACTTATAGAAGAGGAAACTGAGACCCAGAGAAGTTAAGTTTTTTACCTCAGGTTATTCCATGTATACAGCACAGAAATGGATTGGATTGCCCATGTTGTTTCATGATGCCACAGGCTATCACAGATGTGATAATACATTGAGACTCATCAATATTTTCTGTTACCCTCTTTCTTTCTTTTTTTTTTTTTTTAGACAGAGTCTCACTTTTTTGCCCTCGGTAAAGTGCAGTGGAGTCGCTCCAGCAACCTCCAACTCCTGGGCTTAGGTGATTCTCCTGCCTCAGCCTCCCAAGTAGCTGGGACTACAGGTGCCCACCACAACACTCAGCTATTTTTTGTTGCAGTTTGGCTGGGGCTGGGTTTGAACCCGCCACCCTTGGTATATGGTGCTGGCGCCCTACTCATTGAACCACAGGTGCCTCCCTGTTACCCTCTTTCCTTCCTTTTCTACTATTTGGTTTATCTTTCAACTTTTTAAACATATTTCTCCTTTGCAAAAATGGAGCATGTAGTAAACACTGTCTTCTGTTTTGCCTGTTTTCTTTAATGTATACATATACTCTATCAGTGTATAAAGATTTTCCTTGTTCCTTTTTGTCTCCTTCATTTTTAACAATGCATAGTCTTTTATTACGTGTATGTGTCATACTTCTTTCAGCAGTCTGCCTATTTGAGAGCATTTGAGTTGCTTCTGGTGTTTTTCTATCACACAGCTATCAGTAGTGCTTTAAGTGATACCCTTTTGCATTAATCATTTCATAATTTTGCCAGTATGACTTTGATAGATGCCTAAAAGTCCCTCTTTCTCTCTCTCTCTCACTTTCTTCTTTTTTCTTTTTTTTTTTTTGAGACAGAGCCTCAAATGTCGCCCTGGGTAGAGTGCCCCGTGGCGTCACAGCTCATAGCAACCTCCAACTCCTGGGCTCAAGTAATTCTCCTGCCTCTGCCTCCCAAGTAGCTGGGACTACAGGCACCTGCCACAACGCCTGGCTATTTTTTGGTTGCAGCTGTCGTTGTTTGGCGGGCCCTGGCTGGATTCAAACCTTCCAGGTCAGGTGTATGTGGTTGGTGCCTTAGCTGCTTAAGCCACAGGTGCCAAGCCTCTCTCTCTTTTTTTTTTTTTGAGACAAAGTCTCACTCCGTTACCCTGGGTAGAGTGCGATGACATCATAGCTCACAGCAACCTCAAA